ACACACACAGAGACACACACACACAGAGACACACACACAGACACACACACACACACACACACACAGACACACACACACACACACATACACAGACACACACACACAGACACACACAGACACACACAGACACACACACAGACACACACAGACACACACAGACACACACACACACACAAAAACAACACGGAAACGTAAACATGCACATGCACACACAGAGACTTAGGGACACAGGCACACATGCAAGCCAGGGTGGGGAGCATTCGACTGAGCTCGATGACGTTTGCCATGTAGTTGGAGAGCGGCACATTCCCGCGCGTATGCGTGTTGCGCACTCTGCGTTTTTATTGCGTATTTATGGTGCCTCTCCTCGGGTTTTCTTTGGAGTTCCCAGTTATTTGAGTTTTCTATATTTACGAGGTTCGTGCACTTTTCTGGCCTCAGACTGGGTATTCATGTTGTTTCGTGCACTTTGACCAGCCTCGGACCGGGAATTTAAGTATCTGTTGTTGCGGAGGGGTGTTGTGTGTGTGTGTGTGTGAGCCTTGATTCTAAGCTAAAGGTCTTGGTGTCAGCATTGCAGGGGGATGCCGGGTTCTGCAGACGGCATCCAACGAAGACACTGCAGCTTTCCTGTGATTTGGAATCCGGACGCGGATTCCACGTGCCTGCGTTTCACAGTGCATGGCGGCCAGGCTAAGCCCAGAACCCGGAAGGACTTCAGATATTCACCAGATGGATCAATAGTGGCAGAAAGCCTTTTTTCCTCTTGCTGCCACCGTCTCCGTGTGTGTGTGTGTGTGTGGGGTGGGCAATGCCCCCTTGCATGAAACTTCCTGCCAAAACCGTAGACGCCCCGGGAAGCCGCTGTTCTACTCGATGATTTCGCACAGTATTGATCATGGTTATGGTGATGGTGAAGTTGTTGTTGTTAATGATGATGTGATATCGCTGATGATGCTGTTGATGATGATGATGATGACGATGATGCAGATTCAAGGCAAGTCCTGGAGAAACAAGAGCAACTTCTCCACTTAACCTTAGTCAAAAACATCGGTTCATGCCAATGACTTGTCGACAAACCTCCCTTACCACATGTGGGAACGTGCCACATGCATCACAAATTAGTCTCTCAAGGCAATTCAAGATGACCAAGAAAAGTTGTAACTTCCATCTATCTTGGCATACATTTCAAGCAGAACTGCACACATGTAGCTGCTCGTGGCAAGATCTACATTGAGATAAAAGATCGAATTATGGGCAAGCCCCCGCCCCTCAGGATTCACCTGGGACAGGAGATGCCCGTGTGAAGAGGCTCATTCGGCCCTTCGGTGAAACAGAAGCGGGAGTCCGCACTCGAAGACCGTGGACGATTGACCTTCAATCACGCCAGTGCTGTTCTGCATGCCCAGGAAATGGATCCAAGGCAAAGCCCGCCCGGCGACCCGACGGCACTTGAACGTCTTTTGATCGAAGCACGAAGTTTGTACGAGGGAGCGCCTGAAACTACTCAGAGACAACAGAGGGTCTCCAACCAGACCGACAAGCCATGTTGCCGTTTGCTGTAAGGTCTAACAAATTTGTGGGCTTGCGGCTTCTCATTGTATCGGCTGAGCGTTTTGGAACAAGACGGTGGTTTTGGCTTTTGACATCTGCCACTTGTCATCGCTTGTTTGCGTGTACTTTTATCATCCCACGTGGGTTGCCAGATAAAGATCAGAGATCTAATGGTCTAGGTAGCTTGCAACCGGAGCCCAATGTTCTCATCAAGGTCTTCCAGTGTTTGCAGGATGTCGCAGGCTTCGGCACAAGCGTTCAACCCCTGCCTGTGCAGATTTCGCTGACTTTTCAGCCTCACGAAGGAGTTCCACGAGGCATCACTCTTCAATGCTGAAATTTCATGTCGTGGAGTTCTTGTATTTGCGCGATTCGCCGTCGCAGGCGAGGGCGAAGCAGCTTCAGCCGCCGGTGAAGATGCTCAAGCTCTTCAAGCTCTCATTTCTGAAAGCACTGCACGATGCACAGCCGAACATCGCCGTTGGCTGAGTCTTTCACTTGGTAACCCGTGCACTGTAGCCACTTCCACAGGCTCTTTCGTGAATTCCTGCATCAACCTCCTCTGAAGCTGCATGCCACCATCCAGTCGTTTGCATTCAGAACTGAGATTGCACACTCGTCGATCGCTCTGAATGCTTGGGCCTTCTCATTTGTGCAGTTACCTCAGGTGCTGACGAAGCTTTGTCGGGCAACTCAGAAGAAGGCCTCGCGCAAGTCGCTCCACAGAGTATGGACATGAAAGGAGAGTTTTGAGGTGTTGCGAACAAATTATGCAC